GCCTTCCAAGATACCTAGCATTGTAAATTCCTGAGCCTTTCTGGGCCTTTGCCCTAAGAATCACTTTACATCCCTCTGGCGTGGCCCCCTAGAGACTGACTTTGACTTTCTACTATTTGCTGAACCAGTCACCACTTCTCATCTGCTTTCTCTCCTCTATAGTTATTGACATTTCTCACCTCCTGTCTCTCATTTGTTTTATTCTTCAGGATTTAAAATTCCACTGATGTAATTTTAGTGGGGTTTCAGGAAGGAGTAGTGGTAAACATATGTGTTTATTCTGCCATGTTTAATTGGAATGAGCACAGAGACCATGAATTTATAGCAAAACCAACTTGAATGTTTAGGTGGTTTTCACTAACAGAATCCACAGTCCGGGTGGATTTGGTAAGAAAAGGACTGGTCAGCTGGAGTGGGATTCTGCCAGGTGAGTTTGGTGGAAGGACTTCAGGGCTAGGGAGATGAGGATTTTGGACAAAGGGTGGTTGAAGCAACAGACTGTACAACCCCTGCTGTGTAAATAAAAGAAAGATACAAATGAGTCGATGGTTGGAGGAATTTATGAACTGGAGATCCCATGAAGTCAGAAAAACTTGTCAGTTTTCAAATGAACCCTACTTGGCACTTGCAGCATCTTCTCAGCCAGGGCTGAAAGCGCTCTCCCTAAGTTTATTCTTGTTTCTTGGCTTTGTTATTCTATTTTAAGGGTTAATGTCCCTCTTGCTTCACCACTCCCCCGCCCCGCTTGCTTTTTAAAAGGAAGACTATGTATGGGCAAGGGCTGTTCCTCAGGTCCCCAAGACAGGATTCTGTACGGAATGTGAGGGTACGGATGCCTCATCTCCCCGCTTACCCCTGGAGGAAACTGGGTGTTCAGAGCCCTTGCCTCAACTTTTCATTTCTTTTTTAAAAACTATTTTATTTATTTATTTTTTATTTTTGACGGTGCTGGGTCTTCATTGTGGTCCAGGCTTTTGTCTAGCTGCAGCAAGCAAGGGCTACTCTCTGGTTGCAGTGCTTGGGCTTCTCATTGCAGTGGCTTCTCTTGTTGCAGAGCACAGACTCTAGGACATGGGGTTTCCTTAGTTGCAGTTCCTGGGCTCTAAAGCACAGGCTCAGTAGTTGTGGCACATGGGCTTAGTTGCTCTGAGGCATGTGGGATCTTCCTGGATCAGGGATCAAACCAGTGTCTCCTACATTGGTAGGCAGATTCTTTACCACTGAATCACCAGGGAAGCCCCCACCTTTCATTTCTGAGCAGTGACTTGGTCAGATCGATACAGAAGGGGACGGGTGGACAGAGCCATGTCTTCCATGCAGACCTCTCTTTAGAGCTTTGGAAAGAGCCCCCGTCCAGGCTGGTGTCTCCCTTTCTTCACCAGTCATTCCCTCCTTGCAGCCTGTTTTTCACCCTACTGGCCTGCTTGCCATATCCAATGGCTTGAGCTGATCAATACCATCAGATATCTTGGCGGTTCTCTGTTTGAAGCCCTTATTTCATAGAAACAGGCCCTGAGGTGTCCTCACTCTTGGCCCAGAGTTGTTTGCACCACAGCAAGCTCTGGCCGAGGGAGCCCTGTGTAAGGCTGTGGAGCATGGCAAATTAGGAGTGGGGGCTTCAAAGTCCAGACCCAACTCAAGATACATGCTGGCTGTGTGACCTGGACAGGTTATATCCATACTGTCTCTGAAATCTGTTACCTCATTAAAAAAAAAAAATTTATTGGAGTGTAGTTTGTTTATAATGTTGTGTTAGTTTCAGGTGTTCAGTTCAGTCAGTCAGTTGTGTCCTATTCTTTGAGACCCCATGGACTGCAGCATGCCAGGCTTCCTTGTCCATCACCAGCTCCCGGAGCTTGCTTAAACTCATGTCCATCAGTGATGCAATCCAATCATCTCATCCTCTGTCGTCCCCTTCTCCTCCTGCCTTCAGTCTTTCCCAGAATCAGGGTCTTTTCCAATGAGTCAGCTCTTCACACCAGGTGGCCACAGTACTGGAGCTTCAGCTTCAGCATCAGTCCTTCTAATGAATATTCAGGACTGATTCCCTTTAGGATGGATTGGTTGGATCTCCTGGCTGTCCAAGGGACTCTCAAGAGTCTTCTCCAACACCACAGTTCAAAAGCATAAATTTTTCGGCACTCTTCTTTATGGTCCAGTTCTCACTTCTATACATGACTCCTGGAAAAATCATAGCTTTGACTAGATGGACCTTTGTCGGTAATATAATGTCTTTGCTTTTTAATATGCTCTCCAGGTTTGTCATAGCTTTTCTTCCAGTTCTCCAGGCGAGAATACTGGAATGGGTTACCATTCCCTTCTCCAAGGGATATTCCCCACCCAGGAATCGAACCCGGGTCTCCTGCATTGCAGGCAGATTCTTTACCATCTGAGCCACCAGGGAAGCCCTAGTTTCAGGTGTATGGTGAAGTGAATCTTATCCATATACATATATTCACTCTTTTTTTAAAAAATAGGATTCTTTTTCCCATATAGGCCATTAGAGAGTATGAATAGCGTTCCCTGTGCTATTCAGAAGGTTATCATTAGTTATCTGTTTTATATATAGCTGTGTGTATATGGCAGTCCCAGTCTCACAGTTTATCCCTCCCCTGCCCCATTTCCTCATCTTTAAATGTGGGTCATAAACTTACCCTCAATGCTTGTGAAGATTAGACTAATGCATGTTAAGTTCAGAGTGAGGCATGTGGTGAATACTTCTATGGTGCCTATTTTTACTAGCCTCTGCACCTAAAATGCCCCATAAGGGGAGCCAGAGTGAGCGCTTGATGAAGGATCGAGTCTCATTCTCAAGGCTGGCCTGCTGCTCTGGTTTCCCCAAACCCAATATACTAGGGAGAAGTCTAAGCTGGTTCCTTGGGGTCCAGTAGCTTCTGACAATGGATTATGTCAGATCAGTCCACTTTGAGGTTGATCCCTCTTTTCCATGTTTTCTGGATCCTCTTGCCTCCTCATTTTGGGGGTTCCCTAGGCCTTGGTTTTGCCCCTCTCTCCCTGGCCATGTCTCTGAGCATTCTCTCCCCGGGGGGAATGGAGCCCATCATCAGGCTTTGGTTATACCCCAGCTCCCAAGGGTGCTTTTCATTCTCACATCTCATAAGAGTGCTGCACCTGACTTCCTCCCAAATGAGTATTTTTAGCCCCAGTCCCTTGCACTTGGATGAGTATTTCTAAGAAATAACAATTTTGCTTTCCATCTAGCTTCCGCTTTGTGCATCACTGTTTTTTTTAGGGGCACTTTTCTTTTTCCTGGGGCTTGAAGCCCCAGGATCATCTTTGACCCTTCCCTCCCCTCCAGTGTAGATTCTGTAAGTGTTGAATTGAGTGTAAACCGGCAAGTGGTTAAGCCTGCATGCTTCTCTCCCTGTCCTTTCCTACCCACACCTCCCTTGTTCACATGCGGGTCACCTCTTTCCTGGCTTACACCAATGGCCTGTTCATTCTTCCAGCTGCTACACGCTGGTCTTCTGAGCGCATCGTTTTCATCATGTTAACTCGCCACAAAATCTTTCAATGTCTTTCCATTTTCTGCAGATAAAATATAGATTCCTGGCCTGGCTGGCACTCAAGGGTCTCCATAACTCGTGCAGCCCTGCCTCTCTTGCCTTTCTCCCCATGATGTCCTTGCAAATCTTTCCAGTGGCCAGGTGCCTTCACTGACCCGAGAATCAGCCACACTCACCCCCAGTGTCAGCTTGTGGCCTTCCTCCCCTGGCCCTGCATGCCTCCCTTCCTCCTTCAAGACACAGCCCCAGTTCCCCTGCAGATCTTCCCCTGTATTCAGCCTTCATCCTTCTCTCCTCCTGAGGGGATCAGCATCTAGCCAGTGCCTCCTTCCCCGGCACCCTGGTGTGAACACAGTTGGTGCTCACTTCAGACGGCCACTCCCTGTTTCTTGAGCGGCTCAGCCTGCAAGGCACAGGACTCAACTTGCTTAGCGAACTGCTACCCTCAGTGTGCCCTGCTTTCTTCCTCCTCTTCAAAGGAGAGGACTTTAGAAATCAGGACAGTTCTGAGAAGACTCCAGGGGTTGGGACGAAAAGAGATTGGCCTCTGAAAGTGAAAGTCGCTTAGTCGTGTCCAACTCTTTGCGACCCCATGGACTGTAGAGTCCATGGAATTCTCCAGGCTAAAATACTGGAGTGGGTAGACGTTCCCTTCTCTAGGGGATCTTCCCAACCCAAGGATTGAACCCAGGTCTTCAGCACTGCAGGCGGATTCTTTACCAGTTGAGCCGCGTCTGAGGCCTGCCTAAACCATTTTACCTCCCTAGTCTTGCTCCAGGTTGCTCCCCACCTCAGCCTCTAGGGTCAGCTGCTGCAGTTTCCTGCCTCTGCCCCACTCCCCACTCTTACCTCTTAGCCTAGCAGCCCTTTCTCTGATCCCCTCTCCAGACCCTTTGGTTCTCGGTGGGAAGTTGGATGTCCTGCTGGTTCTCCTCTCTGCTCCTCTCCAGCCTGAAGTGGAGGTGGCATGTGTTTCTGCCTTATATCTGCTCTCCTCCTTTCATCCTATCAGCTAACGATTATTCAGGAAACTTATCTCAACCTGTTGGCCCTGTCCCAAATCTTTAGGGCAAGGGTCATGAGAGTGAGGTCATGGTCACGTGACTGCTGCCTATACCTTGCCCCCTCTGCTCCGCTGGTCCTAACACTCTAAAAAGCCAACTGTGTCCCCTGCTTCCAGTTTATCTGGATAGAGACCTGAGCAGAAAGGTAAGCTTCTCATTTTTGCCTTCGGTGAACGGAGGCCACTGGATTCTATCTGCTCAGCACTAACCTCCTTTTTCTTTCCTGCCTGTCTCTGCTGCCTGTCTCCCTGGACACTCTCACTTTTCCTTACCTGTACAGTGAAGGCTGGGCCTTAGGCCCGTTCTGGAGTTGAAGAATGGGTTAGGTTAGGTCTCACTGGTTAGGTCTGGGTGGGGTCCACAGGCTGAGTAGGGAATAACTCCTGCTCTGCTCACAGATTTTCTCCTGATGGCTGACTCTCAACCTCTCCTCTCCCTTGATGGGGACCCTGTGGCTGCCGAAGCCTTTCTCCAGGATGTGTTTAGGATTGTGGTGGATGAGGTCATTCGAAAAGGGACCAATGCCTCCGAGAAGGTGGGTCTTTTCTCCCTCCTCCTCCTCCTGTCCATCAGACCTGACTCAGAGCTTTCCTCCTCTGTCCAGGCTTCTCCCCAGAACCCATTACCGCCTCACTGTGTGCCTCAGGGATTGCATACTGGATCAGACTGTGTTTATTTGCCCTTGTTCACGTGCTGCTTGGAAAACATGGCACACTGGTGTTGAGTGCCAGTTTGTGGTGTCTGTTGTCTGTTGAGATGTGGTTTGGGCAACCAGTCAGTTGGGTGCCTCAGTGCCCCGGAGTCTCCTGCTGCTCCTCCTAGGTCTGTGAGTGGAAGGAGCCCGAGGAGCTGAAGCAGCTGCTGGACTTGGAACTGCGGCACGAGGGCGAGTCACAGGAGCAGATCCTGGAGCACTGCCGGGCCGTGATCCGCTACAGCGTGAAGACCTGTGCGTCTGGGGCTTGGGGGAGCTGTGTCTGGAATTTGTGCCCAGCTCCACTCTGAGCCTGCGTCCCCCTTCTCCAGGTCACCCTCGTTTCTTCAACCAGCTCTTCTCAGGGTTGGATCCCCATGCGCTGGCCGGGCGCATTGTCACAGAGAGCCTCAACACCAGCCAGTGAGCCATCCCAGGACCCCCGCCCTCCACGCCACAAAGGATTTGGGTTTGTGGGAGACAGGCCCCGGGAGCAGGAGAGGAGAATGGTGTCTGCCCCCCTCTCTTTTCGAGGAATCTCTGCTGGCAGAGTCTTTCCCCTCCTACCCTTCGGGTTCCCTTTCCCCAACTTCATCTTGCATCCCGGCTCCAGTGTTGTCTCATTCTTTCTTTCCTGGTTCTCTGTCACCAACTCAGTTGTCTCTTTAGCCCCTCCTTTCACTCACACTCTCCACCTCCTCTGAGAGTCCCTCCCAGTCTCTTTCCTTTTCTCATCATTCCCTCTCCTGGCAGGTACACATACGAAATCGCCCCTGTGTTTGTCCTCATGGAGGAGGAGGTGCTGAAGAAACTCCGGGCCCTGGTGGGCTGGAGCTCTGGGGACGGGGTCTTCTGCCCTGGTATGTGAAGAGGAGGGGGCCTTTTCAAGAGTTCCTCCTCCCCCACCATCCTCTTTCTCTGGGCTGGCCAGGAGGGGTTGATTCTCCTTTGTTTCTTCTCCAACTGGGCTGGGGCCAAACCAGAGAGAAGCTGCCCAGTCCCCTGTATCCTCATGTTTGCCAAACAGTCCATGGGATTGGTGCCTGCTGTCCTGGTGGGGGAGTGGGGGTGGAGGGTGGATCCTGGATCGGCCCAGGGTGAGGAGCAGGGGTAATCAGGAGATCTGCAGATCCTGCCATTCTGGGTCACCAGCATGCCATTTTTCAAGTTCCTCGGACCCCCTGGCCAGGTAGCCAGTCACTTGTGCTTCTGGGTGGAGAGTTCAGGAGAGCCAAGCGCCAGTTTTGACCCACTGCCACTTCCTCTTGCCACCACCCATTCTTTCCCTGTGACAGGTGGCTCCATCTCCAACATGTATGCTCTGAACCTGGCCCGCTATCAGCGATACCCAGACTGCAAACAGAGGGGCCTCCGGGCACTGCCACCCCTGGCCCTCTTCACATCGAAAGAGGTGGGAAGGGCACAGGCCTACCCTGGGCTCCCGATTCTAATCTCCAGCCAGCTGAGTCTGGGACCCGCGACTCAGCCTGCCCAGACCCTTCTCCTCCGAGGCTGGCCTCCCCCATAGGCGGATGTGCCTCCTTCCAACCAGAGGGGCTGTGTAAGGGCCCTTCTTCACTGCCTGCTGTCTGGGGTAGCGGAGGGGCATCCAGTGCAGTGTACACAGTCCACACCCTTTCTCCTGAGAGAGTGGACCAGTGGCATCACTATCACACTTCTTCTTGTTTAGTCACTAAGTCATGTCCGACTCTTTGCAACCCTGTGGACTGTAGCCCGCAGGCTCCTGTGTCCGTGGGACTTTTCCAGGCAAGAATACTGGAGTGGGTTGCCATTTCTTTCTCCAGGGGATCTTTCCCACACAGGGATTGGACCCATGTCTCCTGCATTGCAGGCATATTCTTTACCACTGAGCCACCAGGGAAGATGAGTATCACTTGGGAGCTTGTTAGAAATGCAGAATCTTTGGCTCCTGTGCAAACCTACTGAATATGAATCTGCATCTTTACCAGACACACTGGTGATTTGTAGGCATGTGAATGTTTGAGCAGCCCTGGTCTACAGGGTCTCAGCCATTTAACCAGTCTTTTTCTTTCCCACCCTCCCTGCCCTCTTCCTTTGCCCACAGTGTCATTATTCCATCAAGAAAGGAGCTGCTTTTCTGGGACTTGGCACCGACAGTGTCCGAATGGTCAAGGCAGATGAGAGGTGAAGGTCCTTATGTCTGCGTGGCTCAGACCCAGCATGGCACAACATGTCTTCCCCTAGCCAGAGGCTCTGGCCGTGGGCCCACGCCGCGGCCGACGTCTCTCCCTGCTCTCTTCCCTCCGAGTTGCCTCTCCTGTCTCCCAGTGCCTGCTAGAGTCTCCGCCCTGTCCCCTGAGATCTGTTTACCCCTCTTAGGGAAAAGTCAACATTGTGGCCTCCCCATTGCTAACCACATGTTACCCTGCTCTTGAAAGTTCTGCCGCCTAGCCTAGAGAATCTATTACTTCTCTACCCACTCAGTTTTCTTTTCCAGAGGGAAAATGATCCCTGAGGATCTGGAGAGGCAGATCAGCTTGGCCAAGGCCGAGGTAGGTGAGTGAGAGGTGCCCGGGCAGTGGAGCCGGGCCCCTCTGTCCCTTCCTTGGAGGGGTCTTTGACTGGCCCTGCTCAGGGCTCCCCTCGTCTCTCCCCCTGTGCCCTGTGCCTGTCTTCCCTGGTGGGCTGAAGTGATCCCTCCCGAGTGAGTGTTCCCAGTCCTGCCGAGACCCACGAGCAGAATCAGACCCTGGGACAAGGGCAGAACTGAGTCCCTGAGTAGAGTCCCAGGGGGTACTGCAGGGAGGATGTTGGGGACCTGGAGGGTAGCGCAGAAGGTTTCTGTGAGTTGGGAGGGTCTGTGCAGCGTGGACTTGGAGTAATGGGAGATGTGGAGGCCCCTTCACCCGGGGGACGCAGAAGTGTTGCAGCCATCTTAGAGGGCATTTCAGCACTGTCTGTACCATTTTTAAATACATCTATCCACTGACTCAGAGTCCTACTACTAGGATTAGCCTGTAAATTTTCATTACAACTGCTTAGAATTGTGTGCGCTGGGGCAAAGTATAAAATTAAAAAAAAATTTTTAGTATTCATCAATAGATAAATTACGGTGTTATCTGTGTCAGTTTCTTCCTTTGTAAAATGAGCATGATATAGAACTGATCACAGAGTTGTTTTAAGGCTGAAATTAATAGTATGTAAAGCACTTGGAACACTGAAGCAGTATATACATTAGCTGCCATTGTTGTTACAGTTATTGTTAGAGTAGCATGTAGCCATTTAAAAGAATAAGATGGGAATATATGTATTAACATGAAAATGCCTCAACTATGTACTTAAGTATAAATTTTAAAAATATGTTTATATCGCCACATGCAAATGGTTGCAGCACCACTTTTTTTTAACTTTTTATTTTGTATTGGGGTATAGCCAGTTAACAATGTTGTGATAGTTTCAGGTGAATAGCAAAGGGATTTAGCCATACAGATACATGTATCCATTCTCCCCCAAACTCCTCTCCTGTCCATGCTGCCACTTAGCATAGAGCAGAGTTCAGTTAGTCCTTGTTGGTTATCGATTTTAAATACAGCTGTGTGCACATGTCCATCCCAAACTCTCATCCTCCTTCTCCCATCCCTGGAAACCATAAGTTTGTTCTCTGTGAGTCTCTTTCTGCTTTGTAACTTCATTTGTATCATCTCTTTTTAGATTCCTTATATAAGGGATGTCAGGGTATTTCTTCTTCTCTGTCTGACTTACTTCATTCAGTATGACAATCTCTGGGTCCGTCCATGTTGTTGCAAGTGGCATTATATCATTCTTTTTAATGGCTGAGTAATATTCCATTGTATATGTGTACCACATTTTCTTTATCCATTCCTCTGTCGATGGACATTTAGGTTGCTTCCATGTCTTGGCTATTGTAAACAGTGTGCAGCATTTTTTGAAAATGTCTGTTTTCCCCAGCGAATTGTCTTGGTATCCTTGTTAAAACCCAGTGAGGGTTTAAGTGTGAGGATTTATTTCTAGACTCTCAGTCTATTCCATTGATCTGCATGGCTATCCTATAGACCACATTGTCTTAATGTAGCTTTGTAGTACATTTTGAAATCAGCATTTGTGAGTCCTCCAACTTTGTTCTTTTTCAGGATGGTTTTGGCTTTCTAGGTCCCTTAAATTTCCACTAGAATTTTAGGCTCAGTTTGTCAATTTCTGCAAAGGAACCAGTTGGGATTTTGATAGGAATGTGTTCAATTTGTGGATCCATGAACATGGAATGTCTCTGTTTATTTAGGTCTTCTTTGATTTCTTTTCAACAGTGCTTTGTAGTTTTCACAGTATATGTTTTGCATTTCTTTTATTGAATTTATTCCTAAGTATTTTATTATTTTCAGTGTTCTTATAAATGAAATTTTCTTGTTTTCTATTTTTGATTGTTCGTTTCTAATGTGTAAAAATACAACTGATTTTTGAATATTGATCTTGTACTCTGCAAATTTGCTGAACTCATTTATTAATTCTCAGTCTTTTCAAGGAGTTCCTTAGGATTTTCTAGATAAAATATGTTATCTGTAAATACAGGTAATTTGCTTTTTTCCTTTTTATATGGATGCCTCTTATTTATTTATTTATTTTTATTTTTTTCATTTATTTTTATTATTGAGGCTAATTACCTTACAGGATGCCTCTTATTTAAAAAAAACTTTTTTCTCTTTAATCACAAACTAGACAAGATCGGCATTAACAGTATTTTATTTAATTGGCCATGTTGGATCTTTGTTGCGGTTCGAGGGTTCCTCTCTAGTTATGGCACAGGAGCTGTAGAGAATGTGGGCTCAGTGGGCGCAGTAGTTACAGGGCACTGACTTCATTGCCTGTGGCATCTGGGATCTTAGTTCCTGGGCCAGGGAACCCATGTCCCCTGCATTGGAAGGCGGATTCTTAACCACTGGAACACCAGGAAAGTCCCTGGATGCCTCTTATTTTTTTTTTTACCTAATTGCCCTGCTAGAACCTCAGCACAGTGTTGGATAGAAATGAGGAGAGTGAACATCCTTATCTTGTTCCTGGTCTTAGGGGGAAGGCTTTCACTCTTTCACCATTGAGATGATGTTAGCTGTGGGGTTTTTGGTAGTTGCCCTTTATCAGGTTAAGAAGATTCCCTTCAAATCCTTTTTTTTTTTTCCCTTGAATGTTTTTATCATGAGGATTTTGTCAAATGTTTTTGTGTGTCTACTGAGATGATCACTATACCACATTGAGATGTGGGTTTTTTTTGCTTTCTTTTATTGAATGGCTATATTACCTTAATTGATTTTTGGATGTTAAACCAAACTTGCACTCTTGGGACAAATCCCACTTTGTCATGGTATATGATTCTTTTTCTCTGTTGCTGATTTTGGCTTGCTAAGGTTTTGTAGATTTTTATGTCTTTATTTAGATGAGATATGTTCTATATTTTTCTTGTGATATTTTGTCGGTTTTGGTATCAGGGTAAAACTCATTTCATAGGGTGAATTCAGAAGTGTTCCCTCCTCTTCTGTTTTTTTGTAAGTTAATGAAGAGCTGGTGTCAGTTCTTTCATAAATGTTTTGTAGAATTAACTCATCAGTGAAGCCATCTGGGCCTGCACTTTTCTTTGTAGTAGTTTTTTGAATACTAATTCAATTTCCTCATAAATTTTATACTATTAGAATAGTTAAAATAGTATTTTGATCTTCCAGTGAGGCATTCAACTTTTTTGAAAGAGTGTAAGCTGTGGAGATAGACTATCAGACAGACCTAGGTTTGAATTCCATCTCTGGAGTTTCGGCTCGAGGGCAAGTTTCTTAACACCTCTGAACCCTCGTGTCCTCACTTGCAAATTACAAGGGGCAGTAACACATAGTAAGGTTGCCAGGGCCCAGGTCAGGCCTGTGAAGAGTTCATAGAGCTCAGCACCAGGCTCTGGATAGCTCTCCAAATGAGTTCTCAGCCTTGGTCTCCCTCTTCATTTTTGCCACAGGGTGCTGTGCCATTCCTGGTCAGTGCCACCTCTGGTACTACTGTGCTGGGGGCTTTTGACCCCCTGGAGGCGATCGCGGATGTGTGCCAGCATCATGGGCTATGGCTGCACGTGGATGTGAGTTGGGACGGGCCTGAGAATGGGCTGGGCTGAGCCAAGGCCAAGGCCCATATTGTTCCTTCTGCTCCACAGGCTGCCTGGGGTGGGAGCGTCCTGCTGTCACAGACACATAGACATCTCCTGGCTGGGATCCAGAGGTGCATATGGCCCCCTTTACCCTGACTCTCACCCTTCAAATCCTTGATCCAGAGAACACTCTTGGACAGGGGAGCACAGATGGGAATACGGGAAGGAGGCTGGTGGGAGGGAAGTGGGAGAGATGATTGGGGCTTGGAAGTTAGACATCAGATTTGGGAATTCTCCTCTGGACTGAGATGAGACCAAAGCCCCTTTTAGTGGAGATCTGGAAAAGGTTGGGGGGCTCTAGTTGGGCAGCTCGACTGGGAGCTGGCTGACCCTGCTTTGCCCTGTCCACCCCAGGGCTGACTCTGTGGCCTGGAATCCCCACAAGCTCCTCTCCGCAGGCCTGCAGTGCTCAGCTCTTCTTCTCCGGGACACCTCGGTGGGTCTTCCCCCGCCCTGCTCTGGCCCCCTCCCACCCTGGACCTCCGTTTTCTCTTGTGTCTCACCTGAGGGGAGCTCCAGGCCTTACCATGTTCTCCTTACCATCCCATCTGACGCTGAATATATCTGACTACCCTAATCCCCGGTAATGGGCTCTTTCACTCCCCCTGTCTTCAGGCAAAGGAAAAACTTCCCAACATAAACTGTAATCAGAGGGATCCTGGGTCATTTGGGAAGAACTCTTGAGTGTTGGAAGAAAACCCAGAGAAAGGGTTTCAGTCAGCCGGCAGCCATCCCATCAGTGCTGCCTGGTTCCAGGGAAAGAAACACGTGGACTGAGCTAAGAAATCAGCCAGTGCAGCCCTGGAGGGAATCTCGGTGGGGTGGTGAGTCTGACTGTCCCCCTGCCCTCCGCAGAACCTGCTCAAGCGCTGTCACGGGTCCCAGGCCAGCTACCTCTTCCAGCAGGACAAGTTCTACGACGTGGCTCTGGACACCGGAGACAAGGTGGTGCAGTGTGGCCGCCGCGTGGACTGTCTGAAGCTGTGGCTCATGTGGAAGGCACAGGGCGGGCAGGGGCTGGAGCGCCGTGTGGACCAGGCCTTTGCCCTTGCCCGGTAGGAGTGGGGGCTACAGCCCCGCACCCCTTTCCTGCTCTGTGTTCTCTTGGTTCACTCTCTGGGTCGCTTCTGTTTCTTCCTTTCCTCCTTCACCCGTGATTTCTCACTCTCTGATCACAGGTACCTGGTGGAGGAGCTGAAGAAGCGGGAGGGATTTGAGTTGGTCATGGAGGTATGACCTACCTTGTGCTCTTCCGCGTCCTCCGGCCCCCTGCCCCCAGCCTGTGTCTCACGCAAAACCTTGATGGGAGAAGAGGGGCGGTGAGAGGGGCACGGTCCCTCTTCCTCTGCTGACACCTTCCCCCTGTTTATTCCTCCCAGCCTGAATTTGTCAATGTGTGTTTCTGGTTCGTGCCCCCCAGTCTACGGGGGAAGAAGGGGAGTCCAGATTACAGTGAAAGGCTGTCTAAGGTAGGCTTTCTCCCCGCTCTGGTTAACCAGCTGGTGCGTTTCCGCCCCCTGCTGGCTGTGAGCGGCATGGCAGCTACCTTTGCTAGTCTTGCTCTGATGTGGGGACAGTGAACCAGAAGGTGACACCCGCTTGTCCCCATTTCTGTGAGCCTGGGAGATGGAGAATAAGGTATGCTTCTATAAAGTAAGAAGAAGACAGAGAGGGGCATTACAGAAGTCACCACTGTGCAGTACATAGATTGGCTGTGTGGGGCGTTCTGGGAGCTGAGTGAGGCAGAAAGGTCTCAGAAGTTTTACTCACTGATGCTGGGAACAGAACAAGCCTGTCAGGCCAGGGAATATGTCCTGGCCCTAAGGTTAGATCGGTACTAGGGGCGGCAGATGATCCAAAAGGACAAGAATATTCTCACCCTTAAAGTGAAGTCGCTCAGGCGTGTCTGACTCTCTACGACCCTATGGACTGTAGCCCTGCAGGCTCCTCCGTCCATGGGATTTTCCAGGCAAGAATACTGGAGTGGGTTGGCATTTTCTTCTCCAGGGGATCTTCCTGACTCAGGGATCAAACAGGCCTCCCGCATTGAGGGCAGACTCTTTACCATCTGAGCCCACCAGGGAATCTCACCCTTAAGGAGTCATTCATTTAGAAAACAAGCATTACCTATTTGAAACCAGTGTGTTCAAGGCAGTCTTGAAAATTATATATTAGATCACAGGGTACAGATCAAAAATGTTACAGGAATTCAGAGAGGGGAGAAGAAGGTGTCAAGGATGACGAAGGCTTGAAGTTAGACTGAAAAAGCGGTTGTTGAGATTCAATGAAAAGTCAGGATTTAGCAGAAAATGGCCCGTGTGACAACTTGGAGAATGGTGAGGTGGATGAGAATGCAGGAGGTAGAGAAGGTCCAGTGGGCCAGGTATGGTGGCAAAGGTATACTGGGGCCATGGTCAGAATCCAAGCAGTGAGTCGCTGTCTCTGGAAGGCAGCTAGGTAGAGAGAGATGCAAGTCGGGGAACCCATCCCTTCCCCTGACCCCAGGCTGCAGCTATAGGGTCCCTCCACTCCTCCTGTAGGTAGCCCCAATCCTCAAGGAGCGCATGGTGAGGAAGGGTTCCATGATGATTGGCTACCAGCCCCATGGTCCCCTGAGCAACTTCTTCCGCATGGTCGTGGCCAACCCTGCGCTGACACGGGCTGATATGGACTTCCTGCTGAACGAGCTGGAATGGCTGGGCCAGGACCTCTGAGTCGTTCCATCTTGCTGCTGGCCTGGACCCCTCTCCCAACCCTCACCATCTCCCTGTATCTCCTCCCTATGTTCTCAAGAAGAAACTCTCTAGGAAACAAAGCTGCCTTCATTTTTATGTGCTTTGACCCACTGGCTCGCCTGTAAATTTTGGGCTGGTCAAAAAGTTGGTTCTGGTTTTTCCTCATAACATCTTATGGAAAAACCCAAATCAACTTTTTGGCCAACCGAATATTTGATATTAAGAGGCTGTTTAAATAAATGGTAGGATATCTGTATGGTAGAATATTACTCTGCCATTTAAATTGTGTTTACAAAGAGGACTTTTATAGATAGGAGAAAAATAATTTTAATACAATGTTATGTTGAGAAAGCTGGATATGACTATATATATGGTACTATCTGACCTGTATTCAAAAGACTGATGAGATGGAATATGCCAAAATATTAATAGTTTTACCTGGGATGGGGTTATAAGCAGTTTGAAAATGAACTTCTTTATGCTTTTTGTGCTCCCCCCCTTTTATGATATAATGAAGATCTATTACTTTTATAATAGGAAAATAATAAAAGTTAAATTTTCAGCCATATTACTTAGGTATATTGTAAAGTTTGTTACCTTTCAACAAAATAGTGGGGAATGCAAATTCATGAAAAAGGTATAATAGAGGCTAAAAATAGGGGGAAAATTTCCCAGAAATCTTGAATGGGAGGAGAAAGACCAAAAGTGGAGTTGCTCTGAAGTTAATTGTACTTTAATGACACTGAAAACAAAATGGGCACTGATTGTATCTTGAGACCAGAACCTTGTCCACTAATCTCTCTTGAAAAAAATCTTCACATGCACCAAAAAGGTAAGAATCTTCCTTTTTTAATTTAAACAACAGAAACCAAGTTGGGAAAAAAAAAAAAAAACCCAGCGACAAAACCAGCCACTGTTATGTCTTCTATTATTGCTATTTTCTTACATAAAAACATCCATTTAACACTTAAAATCCTAGGCTGGTGTTGCTTCTCAGTCACTTTTTTGTAAAGCAGCATTTAGCTACACAAGTTATTCAGGACAAGTGGCAAGTCTTCCAGAACTTTCTGTTATTTCCAATTCCTAAAAATACCATTTATGAAAACAATAACGTGGTCATGTAAAAGTCATCCAAAATTATTTGAAGAGGCAAATACAGACTGTACAAACCATAGTTAAAAAACATCCAAATCTCAAACCCAATTCTCTTGACCATTTGGGGGAAAAAAGATTTTCTATTCATAAATTACTAATAATTTCCCTATAAACTTTTTATTTTTATTGTAAATGATATCTAATTTCTTCCAAATAATAAATTTGTTTTAAGAGTACTAGTAATCTGAGCTCCAAGCCCTAATCTTTAAGAGTTATTTATCTGAAAAATGTCTTAAACATTGTAAAAGCAAACTAAAAAAATCCCTGTTTTTCAACTCAAAGCAAAACCAGAAAGCCAAAAAAAAAAACCAAAAAATCTTCAAATTTCTTGACTCACCTCCATCAGCAAAGTATTTTTTAAGGCTAGAAAGACTGGACATAAAATCAGTCACATATTTTTCTCCAGCTTTATGAAACTGATTCTTATTTCCTCCATTCCCAAAATTCAACCTCAAAATCTCTGGATACAATATGGTAACCTGTTTCTTTCTTCTTCTCCCATCCACAGTTACTGAGCTCCCACTGTTGTAATTCTTTCCCTGCCTTCCAAGAGCCCTCCTAAGATTGAAGCAGTCATTCCTCAACTGAGGCCTGTCCCTGCTCCAGGGCCTTTGCACTGCTGTCCCCTTTGGCCCCCGTGTTCACCCGTCTACATGGTTCTTGCTCCCTGATTGCCTTTAGATTTTTGTTCAGATGTTATATCCTTAGTGAAGCCTTCCTTGAATTCTTGATTTGAAATTACATTTTCACCCTCTATTCTTTTATCTGCCCTGTTTTTCTCCATAGCATGTATAAGCATCTGGCATACACTAATTAATTAATTAACTCATTTACTTACTTCCCCTGACCCGGCAACACCTCTGTCCCCGTGGGTCTCACCCAACTGGAATGTCAGCTCTGGGAGCAGAGATTTTGTGTCACTGCCTCCCAGACTGGAGTCTGGTACTTCCTAGGTGGGTAATGTTATGTGAGTGTTTAATGAACTCCAGGTACTAGTTGACTTGCTCTCAGTCACATAACTTTTTTTTTTTTTAATTTATTTGACTGTGTGGGGTATTAGTTGTGGCATGTGGGATCTAGTTCCCTCACCAGGGATTGAACCCAGGCCCCCTACATTGGGAGCTTGGACCTTACCTACTGGACCACCAGAGAAGTCCCCAGCCACATAACTTGTAAGTCAAAGATAAATTCAGACCATCTTCCTCTGGCTCTGAACTGTGGGTCTAGTCTGCTTCCGATGACAGGTTTATGTAATTCATAGGTGTATGCGTGTCAGGGCTGTTTTATTAACCCTGTGCCATGGATCTACTGCTTGTGGGGAAGGATGAAGGCATCTGCAGGTTTGGTCCCTCACCTTGGCCTTGGCCTCAAGAAATCATATTTCTATCAAACAGGAAATAAGCTTCTGGGGAACACCTGGGTGAATTACAATATTGGAATGGGTATTTTTTTGTTTTTGTTTAAAGGGGTCAAGTATTAAAGAGGCTAGCCTCACCATGGCTCGGGAAGGAAGATATTGGCTTTATAGGGTGGCAGGCCAAGATCTGGGGAACTAAAAGCTGGGTGGGGCACATTGGATGTGGCAGCTCTTGAGACTGGGGTGAGAGTCGTTTTAGGAGAGTGGATGGAAGGGGGCAAACTACAGTAAAGTTAGTATTTGGATACTTGAAACTGTTCTAATGCACCCTAGGTGCTCAGTTGGCTATTTCTCTTCTGTTTATATACTTTTAAAAAATCTTTTTATTTTGAAATAATTTGAAACTTCAAGTACTTCAGTATACTCTTTACCTGAATGTATAATTTTCACAAATTTTCTTTATCATTATATATGTACTATAAGCTATCTTTTTCAGAACCATTGGAGAGTCATAAACAATATGACTCTTTATCTCTTAATATTATAGTGTATATTTCCCAAGAACATTATCTTAGCCATGATATAATGATCAAATTCAGGAAATTTAACATGACACTATACTTTCATCTGAAGTCTATATTCTGAAGTTGTGGATTGTCCCAACAATGCATTTTTTTCCCCTTCTAGTATGAGACTCTAGTCCCAGATTATGTATTACGTTTTGTTGTCATGTCTTTTTGTCTCCTTTATTCTAAGATAATTCCAAGACTTCCCTGTTGGTCCAGTAGTTAAGACTCTGAGCTTCTTAACAGAGAAGTTTGATTCCTGGCTGGAGAACTAAGATCCCACATGCTGTGTGACATGGCCAAAGACTGAATTAATTAATTAATTAAAATAGTTCCTCAGCCTTTCTTTGTCATTAGCTTTGACATTTTATCAAAATACAGGCCAGTTATATTATAGAATGTTCATCAACTTGTTTTTTCCTGCTGCTTCCTCATAGCTGAATTCAGGTTATGCATTCTAAGCTGTAATATGATTTGCCACGTGTGTCCTTTTCAGAGAAGCACATCACAAGGTCTATAATGTCCATCTGCTCCTTATTGGTGATGTAATTTTCATCAAGGTGAAAAGTGGTCAAGGTGGTATCTGGTTTCTCCATGGCATAGTTACTGTTATTCCCTTTGCAACTAATAATCTGAGGAGACATTCTGAGATTTTGCAAATATCCTGTTCCTCTTCATATTTTCCCCACCTAGACTTAGCATCCTCTCATAAATCTTGCCAAGCCAACTTTTAGTATAATGGTGGCCAAATGGTAGTTTTGTAACTCCAACACTCCCTCCACTTTTACAATTTGGGATGTGTATGGGACTATAAAGAAGAGCCCTCCCTTCTCCTTACTCATTTAGTCGTCTATATTTTTTCAACATGGACCCTTGTTTTATTCAGTAATTTCTAATCCATTTCTATTTTTACTTATTTTTTAATGCTCAAATTGTCCAAGTTTGACCATAGAGAGCTCCTTTTATCTGGCTCCCGTGTCCTTTAGACATGTCTTAAAACAAAAACAAAAACACACAGCTTTTGTTTCTGGCACAGCAAAAACCTTGTCCCTTCTCTGCTCAGTCTTGCAATCTGCAAGGAGCCCTGATTCCTTTTAGTGGAGGGCAGCATTTAGAAACCACAACATAGGCACAGGTGTGTTCATTGATACTGGATATATTCATGTACTCTTAAAATGTATATTGACATCCTTGGGAGCTCCTAACCCATCTTAACTATGCTAAGGGAAACAAAGGACCAGAGCTTTAAAGGGGGGAGTGATGTACCCCTGGGAGCGGGCATGGGAACAGCAGAGAGAATGGATTGATAACCTAGGATGGTAGTGGGTGAGGTGAGGTACAGAGTTGGGGTGCTTACTTTATCTCTTTTTTTTCTTTTTGCGTTTTTAAAAAATAAATTTATCTATTTGGCTGCACCAGGTCTTATTTGCAGCATTCAGGATCTTTAGCTGTGGCATATGGGATCTAGTTCCCCAAGCACGGATTGAACCTAGGCCCTCTGCATTGGGAGCACGGAGTCTTAGCCACCAGACCACCAGGGAAGACCTCTTGCATTTTTTAAATCTTTAAAAAATTTTTTAAAAAAATTAGAGTATAATTGCTTTACAATGTTGTGTTAGTTTTTGCTGTATAACAATGTGAATCAGCTATATGTATACATATATTCCCTCTCTCCTGAGCTTCCCTCCCATTCCCCACATCTCACCATGATTCATCTCTTTTTTAGAGAGTTTTTTTTTTTTTAAATGTTAAGTGAAGAACCTTGCCAATTGGGTTTTGTATAAAGTGGCAATTCTCTTACAGACCCTGGTTTAGCATTAGCAGTACAAGTGTTATAGAATTTTCTGTCTTAGAGTTGAGAGGCCAGCACAGGAACTCATCTGGTACAACCTCCGTCTGTA